AGCTGCCATTTCCAGGATGAGAGTCATTCAGTGAAAATTCACGAGGCATTGTTCCAAATAAAATTAATGATCAGGCTTCTTCATGAAGAAATTAATACATATTTGTCAAATATTACTGCCCAGATTAACCACAATGTGCCTGCTATGACTTTGGTAGATTGATTGCTATAAATGCTGTTATGGGAGTTTCTCCAACTCTGCTCCTAATTTGTGTTATCTCTATTCGCTCCTTAAGTATTTGCAGTTCATGGAAAGGAGAACATATACAATATGTGCCTCTTGCACTCTAGTATCACCAATCTGTTCCTGCAATTCCCTGTGGAATTCTGTTTTACAAGATAATTTTTGGTTTCTCTCAAAGCAAACTAACTCACTGGGGCTTGGGTTAGAAATAAGTTTAGGTGGTTAGGCATATGAAAGAATAGAATATATTTATTTTGATGGTAAAAATATTTAGAAATTTGGCCATTAAATAATTAGAAATATAATTTATCAGAATCAGAGAATGGTGACTGTAGAGCAAGAGGCCATTCAGCCCATTGTGTGGCCCTCTGAGGGAGCAATTCAGTTAATACACTCTCTTCCTTTTCTCTGTAGGCCTGTAAATATTTCCTTTGCAGGTAATGATCAAAATCCCTTTTGAAAGCCTCAATTGACCCTGCTTCTATAGTACTTTCAGGCAGTACTTTCCAGTCTCTAATTACTTGTTGTGTAAAACAGTTTTTCTTCATGTTGCTATTTTTTTTAGATAGATTGCCTTAAATCTGTGACCTCTGGCTCTTGACAATTCCACCAATGAGAAGAAGCTCCCTGTATTTTCCCTGTCCGGACCTCTCATGCCTTTGACTGCCATTATCAAATCTCCTTTTCCTTATTATCTTCAAGAAGAACATCCTAACATCTCAGTCTATCTACATAACTGAAGTACCTCATCCCTGAAACCATTCTTGTCTGGTCTTTTCTGCAATCTCTCTGATACCTTCACATCCTTATAAAAGTATGGTGCCCAGAACTAGATGCAGTACTACAGTTAAGACTGGTTGTGTTTTATAGAGCCCGAACATACCATTTATGCTTTTAGAACTCCATCCCCTACTAATGAAACTTATTATACTGTATGTTTTATTAACCATTCTTGCAGCTGTGCTCCCAAATTCAGTAATTTATGCATATATATACCCAGGTCCCACAGCTCCCATTACTACCCCATCTTTGGGATTGTACTCTTTAGTTTGTATTATCTCTCTACATTCTTCTTACAAAATAAATCACACCACAGTTCTTCATATTAAATTTCATCTGCCACTAGTCCACCATTTCATCACTGTGTCCTTTTGAAGGTCTCAAGTGTCCTTCCAACTTTCAGAACCCTTCCAAATTTTGTATAATCTGCAAATTTTTTAAAAAATTGTGCTCTGTAAACTAAGATCATGGCCATTAATATATGTCAGGAAGAGTGGAGTCTGAATACCAACCCCTGGAAAGCATCACTACATTCATCCTCCAACCTGAAAAACAACTGTTCTCCCACTACTATCTGTTTCCTGTCTCTTAGCAAATGTCTTATCGAGATGGCTACTGTCTGTTATTTTCCATGAGCTACAGCTTTGATCATGCTCTGCTGTGCTGCAGTATAACAAATGCCTTTTGGAAGTCTGTGTATATTAAAAAATCTGTGTATATTACATCAAGGGCATTACCCTCATCAACTCTCTCTGTTACCTCCTACAGGGAGTGACCTGCAGATGATGTAACCTTAATGAATTGCTTAATTGCATCTGGCAGATTCATATACATAATGTACATGTTTGTCATGGAAGGAGGGGATATATCAAGTCCATTGGCAAAATCAGGCAAAATTGTCTTGACCTGCACAGTATAGAGTTTCAAACTGCTACCTTTGGGCCATCCTCATGATTTTAGAATCCTTCATCACATTTATGAGTTGAACTTGTTGATTGTGCATTTAGGAAGTGAGTCACCCAACACACAATAAGCCCTTCATATCCTTTGCTGTAGGGAAGGTGGGGGTGCTTGAAAAAAATTGGTGCATTGAAACAGTAGAGCAACTGCTGCCACAGGATCATGGTAAACATTCGCAAGCACATCCCAGACTACCTGTGAGTAATGTCCCACATAAATATGTGTTTAACAAACACAAGGAGGTTTTTTTATAGTAAAAGCAAAAAAGTGCTGAAATATTCAGCAGAGCAGGACAACATCTGTGGAGAGAAGCTCGCTTCAATCGGACCTTGAAGATAGAAATGTGAGTGTTTTTAAGTGGGTGGAGGAGGACATGAATAAGTGAACAGAAAGTTAATTCTTTGCCTCATCTAGACCCAATTTTTTTTTTTGTACAATGCCCATTACTGCGCTCATTGGCTGTGGCTTCGTGAAATCTGTTATTTTATCTGTCTTGTGGTCTTATGGTCATGGTTTGTTCTTCCTGCCTCTTTCTTCCCTTCTATGAAAGGTGCATCATCTGATGAGGATTTTCAGCAATATTTTTAAATTGTACTATGCTAATTTAGTGTAAGGGCTTTAAACTATGACAGCTTTCTTTTGTTTCTTTTTCAAACTCCAAACAGCTTCAATTTTCGCCACACTCTTACAAATAAATATATTGTTCTGTGCATAACTGTCCTCTAATTCTTCACTTTGCCTCTTCACATAAATATTGGGGTAATTGTTACAAAACCTTCACTCAAACTTGTAAATAAAATAAAATTACTCTGAATGGACCTCATGTCAGTAGACTAAACATCAGCAGGGTGACAAATTTTAATCACAATGGTTTCTGCCTGTCATTCATTGAAGGTCTGAATCAGATGTATTTTGTACAAAACATTTGCAAAAGAACAATTTTGTAAGTGAAAAGCAATTAAGTATGATAAAGCGGAAAGCTCCCATAGAGAGCTGACAAAGGAGTGGTGGATGATATCTTCTGTATCAGAAGCCCTATATTTCATTATCTTGTAACCTGGCATCATTGAATCTCTGGTTTTATTCAAACACTGTGCATGTTTGTCAAACTACCGCAGCTGCTGTTTGAGGTTGCTGTCAGTATGTTAGCACAACTTCGAAGAGAATTATTCTGTACAGAGTCGATTTTATTTTGAGTATTAATTATTGCATATGGTGTATTCTGCAGAAGAATATAAGAAATAGCAGCAGGGTGGACCATCCCACAAAGATGCTCAGCCACTCAAACTGATTCTGCCTGATTTTCTGACTCAAATGTACTTTGTTACCTGCTACCCTTATTGCTTGATTCCCTGAAAGACCAAAAAACTGGTTTATCCCAGCCTTGAGTGTACTCCACAATGGAGCATCCACAAGCCTCTGAGATTAAAAAAGTGAGGAAAGAAATTTCTCTGATTTTCGGATTCTTATAGTTGACACTGTGACAACACACACACAATGTTCTACATTCCTCATTTGGACAAACAACCTTTCAGTATCTAACTGTAAAGTGTCATTACAGATATGAATCTTGCCAGTAAAGCCATTCTTTTATGTTGTCTGCAACCTGTAGCAGTAGTTGGGGGGATGGTAGAAGTTGGAAATGCGAACCTGCTTTTAACTGGAGTATCCCAGACTCAAATATGAAGAGCATTCCAGTGATTTCTCACTGTCAGCATTACTATTTAAAATTTCATTTAAAGGAGAAGAGAAAAGTTAAATTGTTTTGGAAGGAGAGTCACTCAACAAAGTTTGCTACATGTGGATAAAGTTCTCAGAACTATAAATATCCAGGTATAGTGCTTAAAGTAAATTACCTTGTGTTGCCATTTTGTAACTGCAATCAGGTCATTCATGCTGGTGCTCAATGCCCCATATATGTTTCATCTGAACATAGATAGTTAAAATGAGCTTTTCCTTCTGTTGTGTTCATCAACACGCAATTTCCACCCAGGTGCTTTAAGGGATTTAAAAGTGTAGGCTGCAAGAGCAGATCTGTAAAAAGTATTAGCATAACTTTCAACATAGAGCGTTTTATGGCTCAGCATGATCATGGTCTTATCTAGAATCCACGTACACACTTTTCATCAGAATGATAGTAATTGGCAATACCAGCTGAAGAAAGTTTTATAATTAATTATAGCACCTCCACTACTCCCTCTGGGATCTGATAGTTCAGCACTCATAGCAAGCTCATTCCTTAGTCTTTCGAAACTTAGTGTGCAGTTGTTAACTGAGCCATCAGGGTGTTAACTTACAAAAGAGCTTCTAATAATAATTAATGGAAGTTATTTTCTGTATAAATATCTGTCCTGTGGTCTAGTGATAAACATTGTGAAGTAAAACAGAAGTCTAGATTTGTCAGTAGTCTATAAGTTTTAAGAAAGAGAAGTATGACTTTTTTCACTTTTCAAACTGACTTTGACTTTGAAAATTACTGCCCCACACCCTCTGCCAGCCCTTCATTCCGTTATAAAAATGGAACCGAATCATTCTGTTTCAATAATGGGTGATCAACCTACCATGTCAGTCTGGGTGACACATTAAAAATTTAGCTTCTATTTATATAATCTTCTCAGATTTTGGCCAGCAATCTGCTGTTCTTCTGCTTAACAGAAATTATCCAATTTTTGCATTTTTTCACAGTTCTGTTTGGAATATAGTTTATACTGGCTTGATGATTAAAGGGTGTTCAGCACTTAAGTTCAAGATACAACTTCTTGGTAACAGAGACAGTCCAGCTATGTAGTTTAATTTAGAACATGTATATATTAGTACTTTTGGATTAGTACCTTAAGATGTTACTGTTGACTAATCTTGCAATAACTGAGAGCAGTAGTTCTTATTAGAAATGAGTCAGAAGCAAATCGAGTGCAAATTCGATGCAGTAGATGAGCCATTGAAGTATCTACCAGTGTACTAGTTTGCTAAGTTGTGAAATGGCATAGAGTGAACTTCAGAGATGTTGTAACAATTTCTTTTAAATTGAATTAAGAATTCATTTAAATATGAAGCCTCATGTGATGTTTCTCTTTTAGGTGCAATGATGATGTTTTCCAAATTTGGCAAATTTCAATCAACTAGTCTCAATTATATTGCATCATCTGGAACTACAGGCAAAGAATAGTAAGTATGAAATCTTAATATAGTTTTATGTCAAGTGTTTCAGCACATGGTGTGTATGGCATGTCAGTTCAGCAAAATTACCTGATCTAGATGATGAAATTACTAACGGTATAACTGTTTAACAACTAGCTTTCAAATTATTTCTGATGCCCATATATAACAGAGCATTACTTAGGAAACTGTAATTTTTCCCAACCTTTAAACTAGCATCCAGCGTATTTTATAAATATTTTACAAAACATAGAACATAGAACATTACAGCGCAGTACAGGCCCTTCGGCCCTCGATGTTGCGCCGACCTGTGAAACCAATCTGAAGCCCATCTAACCTAAACTATTCCATTATCATCCATATGTTTATCCAATGACCATTTAAATGCCCTTAAAGTTGGCGAGTCTACTATTTTTGCAGGCAGGGCATTCCACGCCCATACTACTCTCTGAGTAAAGAACCTACCTCTGACATCTGTCCTATATCTATCACCCCTCAATTTAAAGCTATGTCCCCTCGTGCTAGCCATCACCATCCGAGGAAAAAGGCTCCCACTGTCCACCCTATCTAATCCTCTGATCATCTTGTATGTCTCTATCAAGTCACCTCTTAACCTTCTTCTCTCTAACGAAAACAGCCTCAAGACCCTCAGCCTTTCCTCATAAGACCTTCCCTCCATACCAGGCAACATCCTGGTAAATCT